GAAAACACATGATAACACAATAATCATAGACCTGAATAGTAAATATTAACTTATTTTTGTAACACTTTATTTTCAATTATAAAAGGTAAAGAAAATGAACCTGCATACTGATCTTATTAAGTTATTATTGACATTGTTCCATAATTATCTATAATGTTGTTACATGTGCCTTCGAATCTAGTCAAAACCAATACAAATAAAATAAGATATAAGATAACAAGGGTTAAGAAATAGCAACCTACCTTCATTTATTTATTTATTATAGCATCCTACTCTCATTTCATCCTATTAGAACATCGAAAAATCTACCCAACTATTTACAAAGTAATTTCCATTGATATAATTTGGTAGATTTTTCAAAGTATAATTTTCAAATAAGAAAAACTTAAAAGTACAATGCTATAATAAGCAAATAAATGGAAGTGCATTGACACCACTTGTGTAAGATAAAATTTAAAATTTACCAAAAGATTATTCTTTGTATAATATGTGTGCTTGTGTGAAACGACGGTTGTTTGCAGCCTACAAAGATAGTGGATGTCAGAAATTATTAAATAACAACAATAATAATAGTATAAAAGTCAAAAAATACAGACATCACATCACATACCTTAACACATTCCAAATATATATATTTTTAATAATTATAATAAATGAGAATTTGTTACCTGATTCAATATGCATATTAATGTAAGTGAAAACATGAAATGACTTATTTAACCCGAACATTGTCATTTTCATCCAAATCTTTAATGAATCATTTTATTAGTTCAAATAAAGCCCCAACCTACAAAAGATCACAAATGTTAAAAAGTGAAACATTTATTAAAATACAAACTCTACTCTTTTCATCATGAAGATCAACTTTAGGTTGTGGCTTTCTTTTTTTAACCGGATGAAACAAACCCTCATATGGAACTACACTCCCATGTCCTTGAAAAGGAACAATAGTATTAGCATTCTCATTCTCATTCCTTTCACTATACCCCAAAAAATATAGAACAACCGCCACCCTATCCTTTTCCTCAATCAATCCATTAATAATCAACCACTCAAATTGTTTGTAAGTTTATCAAAATGACATCTTATATTTGGATGACACCCTGCAATAGTGTACATTGATACATATGTCTCCAAAGAAACAGGAAAAGGTGACATTCCATGTCCATCAATTTGTTGCTTTGATCCATGTACACTTGTCTTGCAGTTTGATTATAATACTTCAATTTTTCCATTTTTGTAAATATACTCAACCTTTTAACAAATCAACCAAAAATGTAAATTACAGTAATTAGTCACAATGAAACCACTAGAAATCAACGCAATATCATATAAAAGATCAATAGCTCTCAACGCCCCATCATCACCATTATTACTCCTGTAATCTGCCTGCATCATTCATAAATAAATTATAATCATATTATTTTCTTAAATAAATTTTTTTTTTTAAAATAAATCTTACAGTCTGTCAATGTCAGAATGATTATATGTTACTTTATGTGCTTTTAGCCTTTACAAGTGAGTCTAGGTGCAACCAAGAAGAGTCTTGGGTGAGGCAATTTAGGAAATGGCATATCATGAACTCTAAATCTTGTGGAATATAGTAAAAATTACAATGGTGGTGTAGTGGATTATCTATCTAAGGAGTAGGAGCCAAAAAGACATGATTTTTATGATAATGCTAAAACTATTATAAGACAACAGCATGTGCCTTATTTGAAAGAAATGAAAGAATTTCTTTAATTTCTGTCAATTGTGATATAATGTATATTACATAAAAAAGTAATTTTTTTTGGTCTTTTGATTTAGATAGTTAGATGGATATCATTTGTTTCGAGTTTTTAAAATTGTATAATCTATTTAGGTTATGGTTTCTTGATTAGGATTGCATGATGTGTTTTTTTGATCAGGGTATGTTTAGTTCTTAACTTCTAGCAAGCAATCAATAAGCTCAGTCAAATAACATTTTGCTAGTTAAAAATATGAAAATTGAACTATTCAATGAATGCATATGGATTTATATGAACCTTATATATTTTCTGAGTTATGCTTTATTTTTTTGGTATGATTTTAATGTCATATAGTTCTTTTAATACTGATCACCAAGCCAATTAACACTAAAATAATCAAATGAAATGTGTCATGAACTTTTTCTCCCTTAAACTAATTAACTCTACCACAACCTTTAGAGAAGCTACTATGGAGTTCATAGTTCTCAAAAGCTAAACATTGTTCGAGAGGATCTAATTTATAAAACCAATTGCTGGAAAATTGCTCAAATGAACAAAACTACTTTATAACAATAGTACTTACTTAAATTAGACTTCAGAAACTCTAAATTTAATAAGTAATTAGCAAATCTTCTAGAACTTAACATTCTTGCTAAAAATGTTTTAGTTTTTTCATGACTAGAATAGAGAAAAATGGATGCAACGTACCTAGTGATTGACAGAGTAGGGGACGATAGGCAGAGCAGACAAGAGGATTTATAGGATTTGGGGGCGAATCACGACAAAGGATGTTTGTAGTTCACACCAAAATGCTTATTAACGGCCTCTAATTTGTTCATGAAATCTCATCAGTGGAAGTCAATTTGGAAGTTGAATGGAACTTTCCCTGTGTGAAAGACAGTCTATAGGTCACACTGTACTCCATCACAGATCTCACTGTCGTCCAACATCATGGATGCCTCTCCAAAGAATTACATAGGGTTAATGTTGCAGAAGACTAATATAGATCACATCGTATCTCTCACGTGACTGGCCCGAGCATAATGCTCTCGTCGAAGTTACATGATCTTCTTTGGAAAGTAGATGCTCTGTTGGAAAATGTTTTCAAGCACAGATCCAACCTCACCTTTGATTTATCTACACTCAACTTAGCTAACACCGCAACTAATCAATTCGTATACATGACAATTACACATATGTACTGATCCGACTCTAGTTTAAACTTGATCCGCCTAGTTTCTTTGCCGAAGTTATTGCTTTCCAAACATTAGATACATTGGAAATTAGACTCGCTCCTACCATCGACTCAATTTCCGACCTCAGTAATCAAATAGCTGAAATCCTTTGTAACCACTTCACTTCACCGGAGCACTTCATTAAATCAACAAACCTTCGTCGGAAATCTGAGCAGTGAATGCCTAATTCTCTTCCTCTTCATCTCTCTCTCTCTCTATATATATATATATATATATATATATATATATATATATATATATACATATATATATATATATATATATATATATATATATATATATATTAAAGCTACTTCAGCCACGCTAGAATGTTACCGTCGGAAAAACCTCATAGAAGCAATCCATGCTAGGGACCGAAAATACTTAGCTCTTCATCACATGTGGTCTAAAATGGCGTTGCTTTTGTCTGCCCTAGATCTAGAACCTCCCCTCGAGAATAAATTTTATGAGCATTACCAAACTTGATCCCATTTATTTAATTTAAACCATTTATATTCTCATATCTACTCTAAGCCCCCTAATACTTAATTTACTAAATTACCCTTCAAATGTTTTTATATTTTCACTAACTCACAGTTCCTAAATGGAAGTGGTACGGTTTATAAATCATTTATCAACTAAAATACCCAATATTCTTACCTAATATTACTAGTTTGCTAGTGGAGACCATCATCTTTAATCTATCATGATTATTTTCTCTTTTAACTGCCCTTAAAAATAATCATTTTTTTTCTATGGAAAGATATTTCGTCGCTACTTGACTGTGAAATATTTTGTAGCCAAATAGCTACGGGATATGTTTCCGTTGCTATTTTACAAATTCAAAAACCAAGTTGTATACATAAGTAACTATGGTTAAGATTTTCGTAAAAAATTCCATAATAGATTAGCTACAGAATTTTATTGTATAACAAATTTTTGTAGCCAAAGTAGCTACGAATTTCAATTTCATAGTCAACTACCTACGGATTTTAATTTGGTAGTTAGTTATGTAGCTAACTAGCTACATATATGAATTCTATAACAGGTTTCATAGTGAACTAGCTATAACCAACAATTTTGTAGCATATTTAGTAGTAAAATAGCTACGCAATTTTGCTTTCGTAACAATTATTTAGAATTTAGCTACGGAATGCAATTCCGTAACCATTTTCGTAGCAAAATGGCTACGACCAACTATTATGTAGCATATTTCGTAGTTAAAAACCTACGGATTTTGATTCCGCAGCAACTTTCCGTAGTTATTTAGGATTTAGCTATGGAATACAATTCCGTAACCATTTCCGTAGCAAAGTAGCTATGACAACCCATTTCGTAGCATATTCCGTAGAATAATAGCTACATATTTTGATTCTTAGTAGCTTTTCGTAGCTATTAAGAATTTTTCTTGTAATTGTATGAACAGTTATGAATGTTCAAAGTTCTGGAAAAAAATTGATTTTTGCAACCTGCATGCTAGTTAGATTTTCGCAGACGATAGACTTCAAAAACTATTTGTCTATTTTAAATATTTTTCTAATTTTTAGTTATTCTATAAAAAAACATTAGAAAAATGGCTTTTAATCTTTTATAGTATTTCATATTTATGTCCCTTTCCCAAATAAATATTTATGAGGCAAAATGACTTAAAAGCCCAACAAAATTTTCAAATCATTTAAAAAATCTCAATCATGTTTTGTCTGTTCAAAAAAAACCCAACGAACTTATCTATTTGTCTAAAAAATCCAACAAAGTTTCAAACCGTTCAAAAAATCCAAATTTTGTTTTGTTTAAGTTCATTTGGGGTTTTTATTGAACATTCAAAACATGATTGAAGTTTTTTAAACGTTTTAGAAACTCTGTTGGTCTAACAAGTCATTTTCCCGATTCGGTAATAAACCACGACATTTATTTCTCTTATTTGACTTTCATGAAAGTGTAACATAGTTGGACTTTTTAGATAAAATATTAAGTTTATTGGGTTTTTTTATAGATAAAATATAATTGGGGTTGATTTTTAAGAGTTTAGAAACATTTTCCCATATTTTTGATTATGGTTGTTTATGAAACAGTGACACCCTCTTTCTTTCTACTCACATCTTTTTCTCTCCTCAACCCCACAACCCCAAAACCATAAGAAAAAAACCATCTACAGATCTGTATTTCTCTCTCTACTCACCCCGGAGATAAACACATCCTTGAAGATTACTACCCACACGTAGATGCTTTGTAGATGGAATTGTGGGTTAAATCGGCCTCATCGTCTAGCCTATGTCAAGTTCGATCAACTGGACTCCTCATCTTCGTCGTGACAATGGCTATAATTTATATTTGAAATCAAGTGACCAGAAGCCATTCGCAACCTACCCCTTTTAGTCTCTCTATGTGTATCGTTTAGTTTAATTGGTGTTTGATCACAGGAGCTGCATCGTAGTTTAATTGGATTGGTGCTTGATCACAAGAGATGAAGATGATGAACGACCAGGTGTGGATCGAAGCTTTATTGGTAACTTTGTGTAGGTTTTAGATTAGGTTCCATCTGTTTTTATTGCTTTAGTCAATCTTCAAAACTTTTTAGTTATTAGGTTTGATTTGTTTTAGTGGGTTAGTCAACATTCAATGACTATTTTTTTTTTTTTTTCATCACCACATCCGACCACTAAACTATACCCATCATTATATACCTCTTATTTTATAATTTTTAAATAAAAAATTACTGTAGAAAGAGATAGAAAAACTTAGAGAGAGATAGAGAAACAGAGGAAGAAAGAATTTAATTAGTGGTCGTTGCCGCATCAACCACTAATTAAATCCTTCGTTAAGGTCTTAATGTATTAAGGAAATCTTGGGTTTTGTTTGGTTTTCATTATTGGTTCCCCTGTTTTTGGTTTTTGTACAGATAGATATTTATTTATTTATTTATTTTATTTTTTTGCAGTACGTGTAACTGTAAGCATCCGCTTTTGAGAACAAGAAGCATGAGGGTACTGCTGTGACCTTGAAAGTGGCACTTTTGGTTAAATTAGAAAAACAAAAAACGAGTGAGTTTTTCAGAAAAGTAGTCAAACCACATTTTATAACCATTTCCTCTTTTCGTTTTATATAAATAGTTGGGATTTATAGATGAATATGTAGTACTTTGTTGTTGATGTAATTTGTGTGTGCGTCTAAACTTAAGTGTTACTAATATTTTAATGTTATATAACGGTCTTTCCTCAATTAATCATGATGATGAGCTCCACACCCCATTAGGATCCTGGGCAAAAGAAGCGGAAAAACCGGAACCAGTATGCCTCCACAGGTTTGGTCCTCGGTCATCAATTTTCCTTCAAATCGGTCCAATCAAAAAAACCGGTTCTCGATCTAAAAAAAAAAACAAACTTTGTACGTTCTAAAAAAATAAAAAATAAGGTTTTGAAAACTTTTCATTGTTATAAATTGGTTTTTTTTTTTTTTTTTTTTTTTTTGTTGCAGATGATGCAAAGCCCTAATGATGATATGTTCCTCAAGGAGGCCATCAAACCCGACCCGAGTGGAGGGAAGGTGACCAGGAGGAATGACATTGCGGTACAAACGCAATACCTTTATGTCCGTGTAGTGAAAGCAAGGAATTTAGGTGCCAAGGATGATACTGCAGGCAGTAGTTGTGACCCTTATGCTGAGGTTCGGCTGGGAAAGTATAAAGAAACAACTCGTCATTGTGAGAAGAATTTTGATCCTCAGTGGAACCAAGTGTTTGCTTTCACTAAAGACAGGATTAATAAGGCGTCTGTGGTTGAGGTTACTATAAAGAATAAAGATATGGTGAAGGATGATTTCATGGGGTGGGTATTATTTGATCTTACCGAGGTTCCAAAGACCGCACCACTGGATAGTCCTCTAGCTCCTGTATGGTATAGACTGGAAGACAGGAAAGGGAACAAGTTGCAAGGATTTATTATGTTAGCTGTGTGGTGGGGTACTCAAGCTGATGAAGCTTTACGTGAAGCATGGCATGTAGATGATGATGGTGATGCTGCTTCTTCTTCTCCTCCTGTTGTTGGAGCTGATGCTCTTGCAAATAATATCCGTTCAAAGGTGTATCTTTCTCCTACTCTATGGTATCTCAGAGTTAATGTGATTGAAGCCAAGGACTTGGTACCCGGTGATATAACTAAAACCCCTGAACTTGTTGTGAAAGCCACCCTTGGTATTCAGACTAAATGGACTCGCGTATCCACAAGCAGGTCTATCGATCCTAAGTGGAATGAGGATTTGATGTTCGTAGCTGCAGAGCCATTTGAAGAGCCTCTGATATTGAGCGTGGAAGATAAGTCTGCCCCTTACAATAGTAAAGTATTTGGAACGTGTGCAATTCCTTTGCAGTACGTGGAACGAAGATTAGATCATCACAAAGCTATAAACAACGCAAGGTGGTTTAATCTGGAGAAGGATAATGTTACCATAGATGTTGAAAACGAGAAGGAAGTCAAGCTTGCTAGCAGGCTTCATACGAGAATCTGCTTGGAAGGTGGTTATCATGTTCTTGATGAATCTACTAACTTCTGTAGTGATTTCAGGCCAGCAGCAAAGAAGTTATGGAAGAAAAGCATTGGGGTTCTTGAAGTGGGAATCTTGGGTGCTAGTGGGTTATTACCGATGACGAAGAAAGATGGAAGGGGAACAACAGATGCATATTGTGTGGCCAAGTATGGGAAAAAGTGGGTCAGAACAAAAACAGTAACAGACAGTCTTTCTCCAAAATGGAATGAGCAATGCACTTGGGAAGTTTTTGATCCGTGTACTGTTGTAACCATTGGTGTGTTTGATAACTGCCATCTGCCAGGTGGAGGAGGGACTAAGGATTCAAATATTGGGAAAGTCAGAATTCGCCTTTCAACCCTTGAAACGGACTGTATATACACTCAAGCATACCCTCTTCTGGTTTTGCGACCATCTGGGTTGAAAAGGATGGGTGAGATTCATTTAGCTGTGAGATTTACATGTTCTTCATTGCTAAACATGATGCATATGTACTCGCAACCTTTGTTACCCAAAATGCACTACATCCATCCATTGACAGTGAGTCAACTCGATATGTTGAGGCACAATGCGACTCAGATTGTGGCCATGAGGCTCAGCCGGGCTGAGCCGCCATTGAGGAAAGAGGTGGTGGAGTATATGCTTGATGTGGATTACCACATGTTTAGCATGAGAAGAAGTAAAGCGAATTTCTTCAGAATCATGGGTGTTTTACGCGGTTTGATTGCAGCTATAAAATGGTTTGATGATATTCGTAATTGGAAGAATCCAATCGCCACTGCTCTGGTTCACATCGTTTTTGTTATATTGGTCTTGTATCCTGTGTTTATTCTGCCCTCTGTTTGCCTCTCTCTCCTTTCAGTTGGAGTTTGGAACCACAAAGGGAGACCAAGGAGTCCTCCCCATGTGGACACTCGCCTGTCTTATGCAGATAATGCACACCCTGATGAACTAGATGAAGAGTTTGATACCTTTCCAACATCTCGTCTTCCTGATGTTGTGAGGATGAGATATGACCGTTTGAGGAGTGTTTGTGGAAGGCTTCAGACGGTTGCTGGTGATATAGCAATACATGGAGAGAGGCTTCTGTCTTTACTCAGCTGGAGAGACCCCAGAGCTACAACGCTGTTCATAATATTCTGTTTGATCGCTGCTATTGTTCTATATGTGAAACCTTTCTATGTTGTTGTCATTCAGACAGGCTTTACTGTGTTAAGCCACCCAAGGTTCCAGCACAACCTACCTCTCATCCCACTCAACTTCTTTAGAAGATTGCCATCGAAATATGACTGCATGATATGAGAAAAAAGATATGCAACTTTCTGCTTCATTACAAACCTCTTGGTCTTTGCCCTACAAATATGGTGCAGAATCACAAGGGAGTTCCTTCAATTATTCTTCTCTCTCATGCATGTAGCAGAAGAGTATTAATCTTAGAACAAAGTTGCTGGTCTGCCTTTTGGCTTGTAGTTTAAGTTTGTGTTTTTGTTTGAATCAATAAGTTGTTATTAGTATGTAATAGGCGTACAATAATTATGTTGGACTGGCTTTTAAATGTGTGTGAATTGCGTAACAAGTTTGACATGTGCTCTACAAAACATGCTTCTAAAAAAAGTAAATGGTGTGTCTTAATGTCTTATAGTAATAAGTTCCACGACAGCTTTGAAATAGCACTAAAGTCCTTAACAAAGTGTCCATAAATTCATGCATGTCCCAACTCCCAACTACAACCCATTCCGTAATCAGAAACTTTTTCTTCTCCAAACTTGGTACTAAACTTGTCGCCGTGTAATGTTTTAGAAATTTTTTACAATTGTTAGAGAAAATTATTTAAATGATGACCCAAATATAGAAGAATCACCCGTGAAGATTTTAAAAATAATCCAGACCATGTGAGAAAAAGAATATCATAAGGCTTTGAAAAGTAGTATGGGGAATGTAAGTTGTTTTTATATAATTTGAATTACATTCACGGAAAGCAAAAATAAGATATATATTTGAACAATCCATACACTAATTTAATATGTTTGTTTGTGTTCCTATGCTTAGAGATGCACAAAACCCGAATCCGATCCGATCCGATCCGGATCCGAATCCGATCCGGTTTCGCTTACGTCATCAAAAATCCGATTTGGTCAAAATCCGATCCGGTTCCAACCAAAATCCGAATCCGATTCTAATCCGATTTTAGTGAGTTTTAATCGGATTTTGGGGCGGATTTGGATTTGGTTTTTAGCGAATCCGGTTTACGATCCGGTATCAAATCCGATTTGGAATATAGGATTAGGATCCGATTGAAAATCCGGTTTTAAATCTGATCCGATCCGGTTTGGTCAAAACCGGTTTTGACCCAATCCGGTTTCGGATTGGATCCGGTTTTGAATAGTGAAACCGGTTTTTGTGTGCATCTGCCTAATATTTTAATTAGGGTTAAACTAATTTAGTATTGAAAAACCTTTTTTTAAATCCAAAATACCGTATGATATTACTAAACTATCATTCTTAAATTATAACAATAGGATTTAACCGATTTAATTAGAATCGAAACCAATTTAATACTTAAAACTTTCAAGCCTTCAATGTCATTTTTTAAAGCTTTCGACCAACATATATTCAAAATGTAATAACATGTAAATGAATAGACAAAAGTCATAAAACTACATTACTTAATATAAATATTAATGTAAAATAAGTCTAAGAAAAACAAAATTCTTTTGATGTCAATGTTGGTTTAAATTGTTTATTGTTGTTAACTTCGTTAATCAAATATCGACATAATGCTATTCAATTGAATCGATACCCATATTAGTAATCGCAAACCCTTTTACGCAATTGATAAACACACAAGTCTATAACACTAGATTTCCCCAAACTCCAAAGAACATCAAGTGAACGATACCAAAATGCTTATAAACACTCCAAAACATTAGATATATGCATAAGAATCATAAATATTGAATCTTTATAACTTATAAATGTGCACAAGATGATTGACAAATTTAGAACTTCATTGTATTTTGTTTCTCTAGCACAAAAGACACATTCTCCTCCTTCTAACTCAAGGCACTAGAACACCGTAAAGGGAAGAGAGGAGGCTAAGGTTTGCTTCTACGGTTCTCTCTGAAGGATCAAGGCTACAAATGAAAGAAACCCTAAGAGTTAGAGTCTTTAAACAGGACCGAAGACCCGAGACCTAGGGTTTTGAGTTTTGCGGTGGTGCGTCACACCTTGCAGTTAAGACATGTCACGCCCAACACACGCCACAATAGATGCTCTGGGTTCCAACTCAAAATCAACATTCTCAAATTCATGAATTTAATAAAGAAGGTGTCACAGAATATGGGGTGTTAGATGGCCAAAAGGCCCAAAACTGTTTGCTTTTGGTCATTTTGAATGTCAAACACATTTTTTACTTTTGCAAATAAAGCCTAGGAAATTAACGGGTGTGTAAGAAAAATTCTTAATTTTTGTGTAACTTTTAAAATACTTGATAAATTTAGTGAGATTTATCTGTTTTTCTCTCAAAAAATTATAATCGAGTAATCGTCAAAAAAGTATATAACTATATAAGTAAAATAACTTGAATTGGGTTCGATCGTTTGGTTTGGTCTAACCGTGGATACCGTCAGTGCAATTTTTGAAACAACAGAAATCAACCAGAAGGAAGAAAAAAGACCTTGGAAACTAGTGTAGCGATGGCGGAGGAAGATGATGATTACATGGGCGACCTCTCTCAGTTTCTACCTTCCGAATCCCAACCCTCTCCAAATCCTCCCGCCCAAAAGGTGAGCCATGCAACATATAGGAATTGATTTTACATATCAAATGAATATTTGTCAAAACCCTAGCTTTTCAATTTGTATCAGGTTCCTAACATCAATGGTGGTAGTAAAGCAACTTCTTTACAATCTTCGAAGAAGAGACCCAAAACTCGAAATTGGCAAGAACAAAGAAAGCTCAAGCGAGAAATCAAGCAAGTGGAAGAGGATGAACGAACCCTAGCTAGCCTAGAATCAGCCATCCCCCAATCCAACATCGGTTTCAAGATGTTGAAGCAGATGGGCTACACTCCTGGGTCTGGTTTGGGTGGTTCGGGTCGGGCGGAGCCTGTGGGGCTGGAGATTCGGAGGTCGAGAGCTGGAATTGGGCGTGAGGACCCGATAAAGGAGAAACTGAGGAAAGATGAAGAGATGCTTTGGGAGAAGCGGAAGAAAGAGGAGGAATTGATGGCGGATTTTGGGTGTAGGGTTAAGGAGAGGTGGCGGAATAAGAGGGTGGTGGTGAATTTTCACAAGGCTAAAGGGGTGTTGGATCAATTGGAGAACAAAGAGGTTGTGGAGGTAGAGAAGAAAGATGATGATGATGAAAAAGACGATGAAGATGATGAAGAGGAGGAAGTGATCACAGAAGAGGTAAATAAATGGTTACATTTCTTTGATTTTTACACATTATTACATTTACATCAATGATTTTAATTGAATTCAATTCCATTTGTCAGTTGATTCATAGCAATCAGTTCTTGGTTTTTAGATTTTTGTTCATCATTTTAAATTCTGTAATTATGCAGGATCTGCACGAAATATTAATGAAGCTGAGGGATGATTTTAGTTACTGTCTGTTTTGCGGATGTCAGGTGTGTTGTTTTATGCTTTCTAGTTTAATCATTTGTTTCTTGTTCCCAATTGTTTGTTTGACTTTTGTTGACTCTGTTTCAGTATGAATCAATGGAAGCACTCTTGGCTAACTGTCCTGGCATAAATGAAGATGATCACTAGCACTTGTAATGATAGTGGAAGATTTTTGCATTTAGATATAATGAACAAGAGATTCATGATTGTAATTAACATTCTGATAAGTTCATTGAAGAAGGTACTTTTTTTTTTATATATGATCATATACAAGGGTAGTTGGATTTTATGTATATTGTGGGATGAATGGTGTTTAAGGAAGAGGCCAATTTGCCTGAAAAGCCCTAGATGCTTAATCTAACTGTAGAAATCCTTATGGTTGTATAGCTTGTTAAAGGAATGACATGGTATTTGTTATTTTGTGATATAGTTTTGATGACATTTCTATAATGTTGCAAATGGATATCAAAGATTAGGTTTTCCTCCTCTGAAACAATAGATTTGCCTTTTTTTTTTTTTTAATTTATTTATTTATTTATTTTTAATCTCTGTTTGGTGATATGAGTATAAAAAGGTATTCTTATATATCTAACTTCGGATTAGTAGTTGATGTTTGTTAGAATGAAAAATCAAACGAAAGGATCACACATATATATATATATACAAAATCTTTTTTGTTGGAGTAAATTTGAACATTTTTTACAGTCTTATCCGAAACATATATCTTTACTATCTTATAAAAGAAATCTAACTATTTCTAAAAATAGATTGATTATAATAATAATATTTTTTTAAGACGTCCAAATAATGAAGCTGATAGTACAAGTAAACATTAATAAAATAATATTAAATCTTAACCACATTTTGAATTCAAATATTTATCATTAAATCTCCTTATATTTCTCAGCAATTTGATATTGTTCCCTCAAATCCCGGATTCATTCAAATTTTGAACCCTTTTAGATATCCTTAAATTTAGCATGTTGATTCAAATATCCCTCCAATCGCATATACCTCTTTGTTCCCTCATCTGCTATAAAGCCCACCGTCTAGAAACAAAAAATGACTTTATTTCTCAAATAACACCATAGTTTGATTATTTTGTTTTCGACATGTACTTTCTTTTGTAACATAACATTTTTTAGAGGAAACATATCACCGAAAGAATTTACACACCCCGCCGCTTTGCGCGGGTACGCTGCTAGTATATATATATACAAAATCTTTTTTTTTTAATATATATATATATATATTATATATATATATATATTAATTTTGAGTCCCTTTACGAATATACCTTGTTCCTAGGAACAGTATTGTGTTCCTATTGGACCATTATCAATTGTTTTTTTTTTAGATAAAACTGCAAATTTAGTCCTTGTGGTTTGCAAAAATTTTTGGATAGGGTCCAAAAAGTTTTCGATTTGCATAGAAGGTCCAAAATCAAAACTTTTCCGTGAATTTGGTCCAAATAAATATGAAAAGACTATTTTACCCTTATTATTTCTGTTTTTACATTTTCTTTGTTTATTTTGATTGTTTTAGTATAAAAGAAAAAAAACAGGCATGACCATTTGACTAGACAATACCCACCCCACATATTTCTTTCTTTCTCTCTCCTCTCTCTCTCTCTCTCTCTCTCTCTCTCTCTCACATCAAAAAGACTTCCATGATCAATTCGTTTCCATAGCTATCACCTTCCTTTCCCGTCAAGATGCCCTACAATAGTCGTCGACCCTTCTCGCCGGTAAGTTTCTTACCTTACACTGCCTCCACTCCCCCTTCTTCTTCTCGAGCCAATGGGTTTAAGTTTTAGATCTTGAAGCTTGCCATCTACACCAAAACCTCGATACGACAACGGTGAATCCGATAGGAAATTCGATAGCTTGAAACGTGTTAACTTGTGACAGCCTACTAATATCTTTTCCCAGCCATCGAAATCTTCTAAGGTTCCATTTTACATTTGATTTTGTGTTTTCTGAAAATTTCTAGGTTAGCTTAGAATTTT